AGCTGGCGATGTGTATTGACCGTGTGCTTATAAACCGTCTTCATTTCATAAATTTACTGACTAGTGGCTAGGGCGATTATTAATGGTGCTAAGATGGATACTTGGGGTGAAGGTCATTGGACAAAACTGAAGTTTGAACGTATTCTAGATCAACACCTCTCAACACAGGTGCTGGGTGGCCGAGCGGTCTAAACTGTCTCAAACCAAAAAGCCGGTGGTTCGGAGTTCAATCCACACCAAAGTCATCCCAAGCACCCTGGGTAGATGGGACTCGTTAGCCCTGGACGGCAACCCATCTAAGAGAAGGCAAACTCTGAATTTAAACCAGGAGCCAGAATGATCAACAAATTGATCGTGGGCCCCTCAAATATAAGAAGAAGAAGAAGACACATAGGACCTGCTGGCCGTATGCCCTCAGTAGCCGGTCCTCATATCGGTCGGTAATAGAGTGAAAGGGGAAACAATTTAAGCAAGCGTATCCCATATATTGAGGACTGTCTACTGTTACAATGTGAATAAATTCACCATCAGTCTGTGGTGGCCCCAGTGTTCTCTGGCACACAGGTTAAAATTCATTCACTATTTCAGATGGAAACCAAACATCGTTGTAGAGCCGAAATAATTTCAAACGGCGGGTCTTGACAGTGAAAGGCTCCCCTTGTCGTTACAAATAACATGATAGTAATGTAATGTATAAAGTAATTAACTTTAATTAATCTCAACATATTTTTTAACCCAGCTAAAATCCTCATTGCTAGAGAGTATCTGCTTTAACGTTCAAAATTTAGCAGCGATGAATAGTTGTTTGCATTGTATTAAGTTAAAGAACTTAAAAGGGTGTTCTTTTGGCTTCCAGTTGAATTTAAAAAAAAAAAAAAAAAATCGCAACGAATTTTACTAGAATTGAATTCAGCAGCAGTTTGTGTGTATCGTTTGATAAAAGTTAGCTTTGAACTGTTTCTGCAAAGATTGACATTGTAATAACAATAAATGTGTGGCCGTTGAATCAATTGTATTAAGTTAAAGAACTTAAAAGGGTGTTCTTTTGGCTTCCAGTTGAATTTAAAAAAAAAAAAAAAATCGCAACGAATTTTACTAGAATTGAATTCAGCAGCAGTTTGTGTGTATCGTTTGATAAAAGTTAGCTTTGAACTGTTTCTGCAAAGATTGGCATTGTAATAACAATAAATGTGTGGCCGTTGAATCCGAGAACTAAACAAAAATTTAATAAGAAACGATGTGATCACTTACTATACATTTGCAGCAGACGTTAAAACATAAAAACCTCTAACTCAAGCAGACGACTCATGTGCGCACCTAGTGAAATAGGGAACTTTAAAGACAGCGTGCATGATCAAAATGTGAATTCTTGGAGGCCATGAGCAAATAATTTTACTGTGCTAACAATGTAGGTAAATATTCATTTTGGGTAAGGTATAATTTTTTAAATTTTTTTTATATTGTTTTTGTATTCAATGCTTTTATCAAGGCCCTAAAATCTGAGGCAAATCAAATGGCATGAAGAGAAAATGGGGCTGAAGAGATATTTATAGGGGGGGGGGGGGTATAGAGAAGGTGAAGAGATATAAAGAGGGTGGAAAGAAATTAGAGGGTGGAGAGAATTTAAGTGGACGGAGAGATATTGAGGAGGTTGGGGGTTGGGCGGAGTACTCGCCTCGGGTGCAACATTTAGGTGGCCCGGGGGGCGGGGGGTGCGAAAAAATCCAATTTTCATGCAAAGTATGTGTCTTAATGATACTTTTGGGGGAGAAGGCGCCTGGATTGCAGGCTCTGCCCAGGGCACACTTTTTGCTTGCCATGGTCGTTGTTGAGACGCTGAGAGGGTCGTGACCGAAAAGGTGAGAGGCAGGAAAGCTCTAGAGGGTCAAGGTCACTTTACAGGATCAAGATGAATTTCTTATAAATCAAAAGGAACTCTTAACATTTTCAAAATAATAATAATAATAATAATAATAATAATAATAATAATAATGATAATAATAATACAAATTTAATAAAAATGGATAGCTGATTGTAGGGTGAATAAATAAACAGAAACATCGTGAACCCCCTCTACATAAATAGGAGCCAGAATCATCAATGCATTGATCGTAGGTTCTTAAAATATAAAGAAGAGAAGCAGGCACTTCGAATAAGACTCTAAATCAGCCGTTATCAACCCGTGGGTTACGACCCCTTTGGGAGTCGAACGACCCTTTCACAGGGGTCGCATCAGACCATCGGAAAACACATAACTTATGAAGTAGCAACTAATATAATTTTATGTTTGGGGTCACCACGATACGAGAAACTGTATTTAAGGGTCGCGGCATTATGAAGTTTGAGAACCACTGGTCTAAGTCATTTCTAAGACAAACACGAAGGCCTAAAGCCGCATTGGATTCTTCTGTAAAAACACAATGCTGCTATTACTGGATCGTTCAATCAGCGATGTCACAGTGGCGGATCAAGAAACTCATAACTGTGTAACAACCCTTAAAGGGGGGGGGGGTAATAAAACGTTAATCTCATGCCATTTAAAGGGTCGGGGAGCGTGGGTGGGAAGGGGGGGGTCCAATGGTCAACGGGCCAACTTGATATACGGGTCACCTGATATATTGATTAGTAAATTTTTAAAAAAACTTTGGATGAGCAAAAACATATTTCTATTTAGCCAACAGTTATTGAAGAGTCTGTAATAAAGGTCGGTAACCTACGACACGCGTGCCACGCGTGGCACGCAAAGCAATTTCCATTGACACGCGGAAGAGCAAAAATAATACTTATATACAGTTAGTTATTTACTTTAACATAATTTGGTAGAGACGGTCGAATTTAAGGTTGGTGGCACGCTGAATGAATGAGAAATCCTACTTTGCATAGTTGGCCTATTATAAAAATGTGCCCTGATCATCTACTTTGGGATATGGTTTTGGTTTTTAGTGATGTTGATTTCTATGGCCTGCGACTAGCTTCTTGTTTCCTACATTCCGTCTATTTGAAAACAAAAACCTCGACTTTTAGGCCGTCCATTTATTACGTCAACAAATTTTAAGCTATTTTTGACCCCCTCCTCCCGCGTCATAACGGTCAAACTTTCAGTGGCCCCCTCCCCCAAGTAATTATCTCCACAATTTGTATCCCCCCCCCCCCCCCCCC